TGGCTGTCGGCTACCTAACACACAACCTTCCTCCTTAACTCGGGCTTGGGGCCGGTGGAGTTATTAACAACCCTGGCGGAGTTTATTGATTTTAGTTTAAAAATTAAAAATATTAAAAAGTTAACAAATTATATAAACAAAAAGTAAAAGATTTTTTTCTTTTTAATTTTTACACGTTTTTTCTTTAAAAAGTCAATAAGTCATTTCAAATATATTCTATGTATTGGCCTTGTTTGGGATAAATTAAAAAAGTCAAAAAAATTATTAAAAAAGCTAAAAAGTCTATACTTTTCGAGGGTAGTTTGTGGGGGAAGTCATTAGGACAAAATTATTATTTTCCTCTTTGAATTCAACTATCCAAAAAGTCAAAAAGTTAAAAGTCAAAAAGACAAAAAGGTAAAATTGTCATTTTGATTTTATTACACATATTTTTGTAAAAAATCAAAAAATTATCTTAAACATATATCTTTTTTTTTTCTTCTATTTTTTTAACTAAAAAAATTAAAAAGTACACTTATATAACACATCCCAAATAACTACTAATAATTTCTCTCATAGCTTTCGTTGTGTTGTTTATTCCTTAGATTGTGAATGCTAATTATTTCACTTTATATTTATAAATAACTACAATTTGGTTGATAGTTTCGATTTTCTAAACTGGTTTTTTAGAAAATTTTAGAATTTTTGTTTGGTTAAGTCTAAAAATTAGAAAAAGTTTACAAAACCCAATTTTCAGGGTACGAGGATCCTCTCCTTGCAAGTTCCTACTTGTGCCCGTCCTTGTAGGGCTTTCGGGCCTACTTTTAGGCCCAATTTTGATAATCTAAACTGTTCATATTTTATGATTTATTCACTATATCATACCTGTAAAAAATCAAGTTGATCGGATATCAGAAAACATGTGTTCGGAAAACTGTTTATTAAATTCTTTAAAAAAATAATTTTTAATTCAATTTTTTAAACACATATTTTCTGATATCTGATCAACTTAATTTTTTACAGGTATGATATATTGAATAAATCATAAAATATGAACAATTCAGATTATCAAAATTAAGCCTAAAAATAGGACCGAAGGCCATGCAAGGATGGGCGCAAGTAGAAACCTGTAAGGAAAGGCTCTTGACTCATTTTCAGGTTGCACAGTTGGAAAAAAGAGATATCATTTGATGTGACTTTTTTATTTTTTATTTTTTTAATATGACTTGTTTTTTTTTATTTAGTTTTATTTTATTTTTGGTATTATTGAATGGTTTTTATAAGTTGACCGAAAATCTAATGTGACGGGATTTTAAATTTTACATTAATCCAATATTCAATGTAGAGGGATTTTGAATTTGATTTACAAAATTTAAAAAAAGTGAAATCAAACAATGGTCATGTTTTCAAAACAAAATAAAGAAACATGGTTTTCAAAACCAAACACAAATTTATTTTCAAAATATAATTTTCAAATCACTTTTTTAAAAAATAACTCAAAAAATTAAACCAAACATATTGATTAGTTTTTTATCTCATATTTTAATTAAAAATTTAATAAATTATTAAATAAATCTATTTTCAAACTAGACCCAAATTTTAATGTGAGCATAATCTTTACTAGAGAGTTATTTTAAAATTTTTTGTGAATTGTACTTGAACGAGGGTCAAGTTGGGTTAGGTTCAACTTATGCGACATGACATTTTCCATCAATTAATAGAACAGTATCACCAATTAAACTACATTAAGAAAAAAAAAATTGGGATCAAATAAAAATAAATAAATAAAGACCAAGGAAAAAAAATGCCATGTTAGTATTGCTATTTTAAAACCATGATAGATAGATATTGCTAGGACTTATTTGCTTTGAAAATAAAATTGGGGATAAAAAAGAGTAGTCCAACATGTGGGCCAATATGTTGACTACTCTCATATTAGTTTGATTTTCTTTTGACCAATTCAGGTGAAAAATGAGATTGCCCCATTGGTAAAAATGGGATTGCTCCATTTGTAAAATTGGGATAAAGTCGAGCTAAAAAATCATGACATAGGATAAATTTGCGAGAAGGTAATGTCACTTTAAAATTTGAGAAATATTTTAGATCATTAAAAGTGGTGGTTCTAATTATGTGTGTGTTTATGCTTTTTTTTTTTTTTTTCAATTACTACCTCACTAGTGGTGGAATTAATGATGACAAATTAGTGGTTTATAGCATTACTCTTAAAATTTATTCCAGCATTCGAATTTAGTTAATCAATAAAAATATATGTTCTTGATATCTTGTCCAAAATAGAGATTCTAATAACCCACAAAATAATGAATCAATATAGATTTTGCATCTTCAAACTAAAGTCAAATTTTCTTTATGACGAAATAGATTTTTTTGAGAAAACTTTATGACAACATAGATAGTATTATTAAAATCTCATATGATTTTTTTTTTTTTTTTCTATTTTTAGGTACAACATCCCATATAAGTTACTGTGGTGTTAGTAATATCATCTCTCTTTTGGGATTATCTTTATAACTAAGGCTTATTTTGGAAATATGGTAAAAAGTGGGTTTTTGACTTTTAACTAAACTTTTGACTTTTTTAGACAAATTATTTGGGAAGTTGGTAAAAAATGACTTTTTGACTTTTTTGATTAATGTTTGTTTAAGATGCCAAATCATAATAAAATGACCAAACTACCCTTATTTATTTAAAATATTTACAACTTCACCTATGTAATATATTTTGACTTATGAGGGTAAAATTGTAATTTCACCGTTGACTAAAAACCAACTTCTCAAATGAAAAAAAAGACAAAAAAGTCAACTTTTGACTTTTGCTATAAACAAAAAAAAGTGGCTAAAAGCCAACTTTCCAAAATAGCCCTAAACATAATATTTACTTTTTATTTAATTTTATTCTAACCAAATATAAAAGGTGGATTTCACAAAAATCCGACACCCTTAACGCCTGAAACCTCAAATTTGTAATCCCTCTTTCTCACTCAAGGTCTCCGTTGTGATGGGCAACTGAAAGCGAGAAAAAATGGTTGAAGTTAGGGGTGAGCAGCGGATATATTGATTCGTTAAAATTGATCGAATCGAATCGATCTGTCGCATTTTGGACGGATATGTGATGATGAGCAGACGGTTGCGGATTGATTTTCTATAATCCGCCAATCTGGCGGACGGATGACGGATTTGAGATTCCTTTGGCCGCAACCGAACTGTCAAACCACGAACACCTCTAGTAATTTATAAGACTTTGTGTTTTCAGTTTGTTTAAATATTCTGTTTGCATTTTCAATTAAAAAATAATTTAAATATTCTGTTGAAATTTTTTTTTTAACTTGAATATCTTTTTTGAATTGAAAAAAATAAACGTGTTATTTATCTATATTTTTTGATTTTTAAATTTATCTCTAAAAATAATAAATAAAAAATATGATATATACTGGTGGATTTTTGTTCTCAAAAACAGATATAGATATAATAATACAGAGATATACAATTTCTACTACTGCTTTGTTCATGGTTTTGGTGGTTTGAATTATTTTTATATTTTAAGAACCACAGATTGTAATACTTTATGTGGATGAGGCATGCTGTGATTGTAGTATGTGGATGAGGCATGCAGTGATTGTGATATTCTAAAGTTTCAAACTTTTTTACTTTGGATGAGGCATGCAGTGATTGTAATATTTTTTTTAAGTCATTAACTGTAATACTTTTTTTTTTCTTTTTTTTTGAAAAAATGCACAAGTTAAATTATGTTGAAAATTTATAAAATTTTAAACCGCCAAACCGCTTCGCATCCATCCGCCAAATCGTCAATCCGCTCAATCCACATCCGCTGGATTGGCGGACGGATACAGATTAATTTTTTTCAATCTGTCAATACGACGGACGGATTGTGAATTAGAGATTCTGTGGCCACAGTCGACCCGCGCCCGCCCCTAGTTGGAGTGGCAAGATGAAAAAGGTGTAGGGTGGTGAAGAAAAGTAGACGATGGGTTGCGCAGGTTAAGAGAGGGCAGTGAAAAACATGGGTTTGAAAGAAAGGGACAAACAAGCCTGTAAAAAAAAAAAAAAAAAAAAAAAAAAAAAAAAAAAAAAAAAAAGGACAAACAAGTAAAAAATATACCAATTAGTATGCTTGATTTCAGTTTTTTAAATTCAGTTTTCTAAAAATTAAATTTTTTATTTTTTGTTTTTTGTTTTTGTTTAAAGTGAATATTTTTTAAATTTTAAATATATTTTTTAAATTTTTTTAGATGTAAGTTATTTAGATGTATCTAAATAGTAAAATATTTGTAAAAAAATATTTTAAAATTAAAAATTAATAAATACACAAAACTATGAAAAATATACTGAATTTTTATATTTTTTGTTATATTTTTAGTATTTAGTGACTTTTTAAAAAAATATATATAAATATTATACTTTTTAAGTGTATTTATATTAAGTGTGTTTAAAAATTTTAAAAAATTACTGCAAATATTTAAAAAATTCATTGAAAAAAAAAAAAATAGAATTTTTTAAAAATCAGAACCAAATAAGCTAAATATTTTTATAATTATTTTTTATTTCATATCTATTTATAATGAGTAATGATAAAGATAATTAAAAAAAAATCATAAAATACTTTATAAATTTTTTTATTCTATTAATATATGAAAAATATTTATAAAATATTTCATAATATTACTCATATAAAATATTTCATAATATTACTCATTTATAATTATTTTCTCAACTTCCTATTTTTGTTTTTTTGTTAGTATTTAATGTAAATTTCTAAAAAAAAATGGAAACAAGGATAGAATCACGAACACTCACGCGGTTAAGAAAGCAAAGTCCCTCTCTCTCTCTCTCTCAAGTGGGCCCACCACAATCACCAACCCACGCGCTAGTTTGCGCGTCAAACTCCACACACCTTAGCGTATGAAAAGGTCCAGGGTATTTCCGTAATTCCACTCAAACTCCGCGTCCATTTCTATACCGTCCATCATATACACAACACAACTCCATTAAAGTTTTCCCTCCTTTCTCTCTCACCTTGGTCTTGACTCTCCTCTAGAGAGAGAAAGAGAGACTAATAGAGAGATATAGAGAGAGAAAGGAACAAAAAGAAGGTAATATAGATATATAGAGAGAGAAAGTGTAGAGAGAGAGAGAGAGAGAGACTGCGGAGGGAACGATGAAACACATTTTCAAGAAGCTTCACATAGGGGGCAATCACGACCCTAATCGATCCAACGAAGTTCCTTCGACTGTCTCCCCTACATGTGGCTCCGATCATCGCGTAGCTTCTTCCGGCCAGACCTCCGCCCAATCTCCGGCGAGTCCATCGACCTCTTCTTCTCCTTCTACCGCCGTCTCTCCGGCGACTGTGACGACCACTCCGGCCGAATCGGCGGTCAATACGCAGGACTACTACTCGTCGGAGGAGGAGTATCAGGTTCAGCTAGCCCTAGCTCTGAGTGTTTCGGGGCGGGAATCTGGGGACGATCCCGAGAAGGATCAGATCCGAGCTGTGACGTTGCTGAGCTTGGGGCGCCACGGGAGTAATTCGATTCGGGAGAGGGATGAAGCTGCTGCGGATTTGTTGTCGCGGCAGTACTGGGTGAGTTTGGTGTGGTTGAATTTTATGAAATTTTTAAGTGTTGCATGTACTGAATTATACTCTTGTGAGCTTGATTTAGTGGGTTTTCTTTGTTTTTGGTTGTTAATTTGGCTTCGGATTGGGCAACTTCATAATCTAAGTAGTTTAGGTCAGTTTGATACAACTTGAATTTTGATAACTCGGTGTCCGACCCACTGGACCGACTAATCGGGGCACCAATCTCGCCGTCCACTGGACCGACTAATTGGCACACCAATTATACCGTCCACTTGCGGCGTGGATTGACACTATTAAATTATTTGCACCTAGGAGGTTTCGAGTGAGCGCACAGGCCCAAGGTCTTGACCACCAGGCAAACCATTTGAATGTTGCGCAGTATGCCCCATTTGGGAATTGACTATTTTATCTGGTATCTTGACTTTTTATGAAAATATGTACCGAAAGTAGACGGAAAGTAACAGAGTAATGTGATAAACGTATAATGAGTTTTTTGCTTTTTGTTTCCCCAACTTTTGTAGATGCTTTTCAGTGTTAGTTGTTGTAAGGCAATAATTACTGCCAATTTGTTTATAATGAAAAAAATAATGTAAGTTTTCTTTTTGTTTTTGTCTCATCAGGGTTATAGTGTCCTTGACTACGAAGAGAAAGTAGTGGATGGTTTCTATGATGTATTTGGGCTATCCACAGATCCAGCAACCCAAGGGAAAATGCCATCTCTCGCATATCTTGAAACAAACCCTGGTAGTTCTGGCTTTGAAGTTATTATAGTTAACCAAACAATTGACCCATCGCTGCAAGAGTTGTTGCAGATAGCACACTGTATTTCACTAGATTGCTCAGCTGGTGAGGTTAGTGTTCTGGTACAGAGGCTCGCTGAACTTGTTACAGATCACATGGGTGGGCCAGTAAAGGATGCTAATATCATGTTAGCAAGGTGGATGGAAATAAGCACAGAGTTGAGGACATCTCTTCACACTAGCGTGTTGCCTATTGGGTCCCTAAAGATTGGGTTGTCGCGGCATCGTGCTTTACTTTTCAAGGTAAGCTATCAGAATGTCATTTGCCACTGCCCTTTCTGGGGGGACAGAGCTTATCCAGTGTAGACTATTCATTGCTATTCTGATTTTGGAATTTTAGGCCTAAAAGGATAGGTGCCATGTGAGATCTTATTAGATAAGTACTCTGCAAGAACTTATACCTTCCAATCTTTGGTGGTTACATGCTAAACTATGGCAATATAAATATTTTCTGCTTATTTCCAGGTACACTAAGCATGTGGCAATTGTGCTTGAATAATTTGGCTGCCCCTATTGTTAAATTAACCAAAGTTTTTAAAGGTGAATGCGTATCTTGAGGTATTTTACCTCTCGTGAGGCAAGGCGTAAGCCTCAAGGCGTTGAGGCGTAAGCATTTCAAATTTTAAATATTAATACTTAGTGAATAAATTAAATATTTTAAAATAGTAAAAAAATGAAAAACAAAATTAAATATAAATGTAAGTTTGCCTTCAGTGAAAGTGAATTGATATTTTTAACTTTAGTGATCGAGCTTCTCAACCATTTATTGTGTTTTTCTTGATTTGATCATTTACTTAATTTTTCCTGTTAGAATATAGTTGCAAAAAAGGATTCTTTTTATTTTTTGTTTTTTTAATGTTTAAGCAAGTTTAACAAAAGCCCAATGCAACCTCTGCTGCATATGCATACTCTCATATGCTTATGCACAAAAAGCGTACAAAGCACAACTAAGGTGCATGTCTCAAACTGTGATGTGCAAGCCTTTGGGGAGTAATGCCTAAAATCAAAGCCTTGATGAGTTTTACCTTAGCCTCGAGGTGAGGCGAGGCAAAGCCTTTTACAACTTTGAAATTAACCCCTTTTCTCCAGCTTACTATTTTGCGTTTGTATCATCCATATCCAAGCCGTATCCAATCTATCTGAGGCCAATGTAACACTGTTCACAGTACCCATGTCCACTGGATAGGACCACAAGGGTAAGGGTGTGGGATATGTATCAACCACCCATAGCCAACTTAGACACTTGATTCTCCCAAAGCATTCTGGCATCTTCCTCCTCTGTTTTTGAATGACATAATATTTTTCCTAAATCTCATTTAATTTCAAGTCATCTCTTAATTTTTTATACGGATATTATATAATGTGCAATATATATGTGTTTGAGATATGTGCCCGTTTAGGAATGTTTGACATTTTGACATGTCCCCATACCTTACAACTACACCCAAGTTTTGGATACATATCCCATAACTTAGGCTGATGATTGCACCCTCACCTGCACCAGCACCACCCTATGCTCGTACCCTAAGTCTAGATAACATAATCTAAGCCGTGTTTGAAAGTGAAAAAAACTAAAATGATTTTTGAATACTTTTTTGAACGTATTGGATACATTTATGGCATCTTTTTGGAGTATCTGTCCTTCATAGAGTGGTTAGTCTGCAATATACACAATGATAAAAGGCACAAAATGCATCTATGGATGTATGATTTAATCAAATTTATATAGGAAATTTAGTGCTTGGGACACTTAAAGCCTAGTAGGTTAAAAAAAAATAAAATTGAGTGCCTTTTAGTATATTTCATGATATTGAAAATTTTTGCCAATTCTAATTAAACAAATTCCTCTTGATTCATATTGAGCAAATATTGGTTTTTAGGGAAAATTACACTGACCTCCACTGAGGTTACTACTGAATTTCATAGACATCTCCATGTGGCTTTTAAAATGACCGCACCACCATACCCGCCAGCCCTTCCACCTCATATACGGAACTACCACCCCTGTTTCAGCCCCAACCGATAAAAGCTTCAGCCAATAAATGTGATCTTCATGTACAGAATTGTGAGGACCAATAATGGTTCCTGTCCAAGAATGCATGTAGATGTCACCTCTATAGTTCACAATACCATCTCCACCCGCTTCTTCATGCTTAAGTTCTTCTTGCAATTTGAAAGCTCGAGGGACCACGGCACTCGATCCTCCTAAGCCAAACATCATTGTGACTATACAATTTTGCCTTAGATGAGTTGTGTGGAGATCAATCTATTCAAGGGGGGAAGATGGTGGTGGTGCATAGTTGGTGGATGGTTTGATGGTGGGTGAGGAGTTAGGGAGTAAGTCTCTGGGGAGAGGGGTTTGATGGTGCATGGTTGTGATGGTGGGTGATTACATAGTGAGTTGGTTTGGGGAGGGGCTGGTGTTGTATTGATCTAAAAAAGAAGGGTGTTTTCAATATGCAGCTCATGCAAATACTTGGTCGTTGTCGCTTAAGAGAAGAAGCTAGTTTTCTACTTAGATCCAGAAAGGGAGAACCTGAAGATGAGCTCAAACCAGCAAAAGGTAAGGGATCAAGAAAGAAAGAGAGATGTCCAAAATCTTTTGATATCCTGTGGAGATGGTGGAATGGGTTAGGGAAGTGACGGTAAGGATGTGTTAATATCAAGGGCATTTTTGTCTTTATAATGTGGGGACAATAAGGGCATATTAGTCTTTTAAACATATTTGGTCTTAATGTCCAAACATAAGAAACAAGGGAAAATGCAAAATGAATTTGAAATTTATACTGCTCTCAGCATCTTTCGTTTGTCATAGTAACAGAACAGTCAATAACAAAAGGGAGAATCTAAAACTAACTAGTGAAGCAAAAGAGAGGACAATGTCATTTCAGCAACTAGAGGGGAGGTCCTTGAAATTGTCAGTAACCTCAAGGAAGGTCCTTGAAATTGTCAAGAACCTCAGGGGAGGCCAGTAGTGTAATTTGCCCTTGTTTTTATTATACAAGTACTTTTCTAAATTAGGTCATATATGTTCTTAGGGTTTATCTTTTTCTTATCATGTTATTGTAATATTCATATTGGGAACATGAGCTGTGCTTTTATTTTATTTGTTGTCTGTAATGCAGGTATTAGCTGACAATGTTGGATTACCTTGTAGATTGGTAAAAGGTAGTCATTACACAGGTGTTGAAGATGATGCTGTCAACATCATAAAGTTGGCAAATGAAAGGTAAGGAGCTGAGCTTTTTTCAGGTTTGTTGGTTTTATGTATCATATGGTGGGTCCTTTGCACCATTTGGGCAACCCCATTAAGTGTATTGGAACCTTATAATGCTTCTGACATATTGTTCTGCATTTCTAATACTGTACTACAAGACCTGCAATTTTTTCTCTGAGGAATTTTCGGTTCTTAACATTGAAATTCTCTTCAGTTTTCCTACCTACTGGGTTTCTCTCATTGGAAACTAATTCTAAACGATTATGCAATTTATAAATTTCACATCAGATTGTTCACAAATAATTGTTTTTCTTCTTTTACTTTAGTTGTTTTGGTTTAATGTTGGAACTTAATTGTCTGGTTAAAATTGGAACTGAATCATAGACTGTTAGCCTTCCATGAGATCAATTGTTTCCTTCTTATGTACTCACGATGGGAAGAGTACATATGAAGCCATTTTCTATGTGAACATCAGGATATGTATCTGTGCTTTGTGCTCATATTTGAGATCAGGGAAACACATTTAGGCCTTGTTTGGGATAAACTAAAAAAGCCAAAAAGTCAAAAAGTTACTAAAAAAGCTAAAAAGCTAAAAAACCTATACTATTCAAGGGTAGCTTGTGGAGGAAGCCACTAGGACAAAATTATTATTTTACCCTTTGAATTCAACTATCCAAAAAGTCAAAAAGTTAAAAGTCAAAAAATCGAAAGGGTAAAATTGTCATTTTGGATTTTGCTACAGTATTTTATTACACATCTTTTCGTAAAAAGTCCAAAAAATATCCCAAACGTACATATTTTTTTCTCTACTTTTTTAACCAAAAAATTAAAAAGTATACTTATATAGCACATCCCAAACAACTACTTAGAATTTTTTTAATAAAAACAATTATTATGGTTCTCCTTAGCTACTTGCAAGGTTGAGCTAGTGCTGTCGTGTTGTGTGACTAAAATATTTAGGTGGTGTGTTTGTTTCATTTTATTTTATTTATGCAAGAAATTCTTGAAATAATTCTTGTTTCCTTTTTTGGTTACTTTTTCTAGTTAGTCCATCAATAGCAAATCATGTGCACTCTGCATCTTTATAACTGGGGTAAATTACACTTTGCACCCCTGCACTTTGCACCAAATTTTACTTTGGCCCCTACATATGAAATCATGACAGTCAATTCCCTGCACTTCTGGTCAAATCTCACGTTGGTCTCAACACATAAAGTTGTGACAGTCAACCCTGTGTATTTTCAGTCAAATCTCGCTTTGGTCCCTACACAAGTGTCAATGTCCCATTTCTGTTACTTAATTGTTTAAATCTTTAACAGAATCTAATCACATGACAAGAATGTGACTACGACATGAGGGTAAGAGAGGAAAATCATCTATATTTTACACCAACACACACACTTTGTCCCAAAATTTACATCAAATTTCGATTGTATTAGGCTAAAACAAAATGCAGATTATGAACGATTAAGAAGAAGAACTAGGGTTGCGTTTGGTAGACTTTTGTAAATATGATTTGAGAATATGAGTTGTATTTTGAGTTTGTGAGTTTTGAAATTATGATTTGAGTGTAGAAAATTTGTTTGGTGAATTAGTTTTGAAAAGAGTTTTTGAATTGAGTGATGTGACATAATTTTTATACAAAAACTTACAACTCATAACCAAACACAACCCAAAATTCTATTCAAAACTCATAAAAAAATTGAAAATATTTTTTATTTAACATATAAAAATAACAAGTGCAAAAAAAAAAAAATTTAAAATAAAATAAATACAAGAACACTGTTCCAGTCAACTGGCCGGATGACCGGCCGGACGTCCGGGTACACTATTTTTCAAACGTGAGTGTGGAAATGTGTTTTGAAAACCGTAAACAAACGCCACAGTCGAACTTGTGTGTAGAATCATGATTTAAAAGCTGTACCAAACACAACCTAGGATTTTGCATAAATTGGAATTATGAAAATCACTTTGGTCTGTATACATGAAATTGTGACAGTTAGCCCTCTGTATTGTTGGTCAAATCTCACTTTGGTCCCTACACAAGTATCAATGTTCCATTTATGTTACTTAATTGTTTTAATCTTTAACCGAATCTAATCACATGACAAGAATGTGACTACGACATGAGGGTAAGAGAGGGAAATCATCTACATTTTACACCAACACACTTTGTCCCAAAATTTACATCAAATTTCAACTGTATTAGGCTAAAACAAAATGTAGATTATGAACGATTAAGAAGAAGAAATAGGGTTTTGCATAAATTGAAATCATGGAACTCAGTTTTTCACAGTAACACAGTTTTTTGTCTATTCATTTTCCTTTCTCTTTGATTTCTTTGTTGCATTTTTTTATTATCTCAAAAGCTCTATTTTCTTACATCGTCATCCCAATTTTTAGCATACGGACACATATATATTGTATTATATACCTCTCACATGCTTATCACGTAGGACAAAGTATATTGTTAGGAAACATGGATGATTTTCCTCTGTTACCCTCATTTTGTAGTCACATTTTTGTCATATGATTTGATTTTGTTAAAGATTAAAAAATAAAATAACAGAAGAGAGAGATTGACACTTGTGTAGGGACCAAAGTGAGATTTTAGCAAAAGTGTAGGAGGTTGACTGCCACGATTTCATGTGTAGGGACCAAAGTGGGATTTGATCAGAAGTGTGTTATGATTTCATGTGTAGGGTTCAAAGTGGGATTTGGTGCAAAGTGTAATTTACCCATATAACTGAGTTCAGCAGTATCATTTTTAATTGGCTAACTGAAATGCAATTCACAATTTTATATAGATGGTTGTTAATTGTTTATATTTTAGAGTCTAGACAACATCACTTAAGCAGAATTACTTGCTGTGGAGCTTATTCATGCATACAGATATTTAAAAATCCATACAATCACATGTTTTTATCTGTTTCAACTTTCAAATGTTTGTCTGCATATTCTGAGTCTGAATCTGATGTATATGTTTTGCTTTCAGTGAATTTTTGGTTGATCTCATGGGAGCCCCTGGGACACTTATACCAGCCGATATTCTAAGTGCAAAGGATACATCATTTAATTCATTCCATCCAAAATTAAGCAAACTTCCAACTCTTCAGACAGCTCATGACTCTGAAGTTTTTTACCCAATACCGAGGCCACTACTTGGCGACTTTGAAGGCAGCAGTCAAAGCTCTGTGGTTGAAAATAGTTTGCCACTGGGTAGAAAGGCAAGTTCTGAAAAGACTGTACTCCCGAGTGCAAGTGGTGATACTGGGGTTGGTTCTTCTGGAATTAATAAAGTAACTCCGGCTAAACAGTTAGATCATGTTCCCTCACTGGCAATTGGAACTTCTCTCCATAAAGGCAGTCGTGGGCCCAATGCATCTGGTGATGGTTCAAGGTTGAATGTTAACATAGTTCCTTATAACCAGAGTACCACAGAGGACTCCAAAAATCTTTTTGCTGATCTTAATCCATTCCAGATAAAAGGATCTGGCAAGGCTTCTGTACAGAGCAATCCTGCTTGGAATAAAGTTGATGAGTTTCGAAGGCCGAAGAATGAACTTGTCTCTGGTCGACCTCCTGCATCATTAATGTGGAAGAATCGCCAGGCTTGCAATGAGGTCCCTACAAGAAAAGAATATGATTTTGCGGAGGGACTCCTTCCTAGAAATAATCGTGAAGTTAATGATTATAATATGTCATCATCAGCTTCTACCAGTTCTACTGGATCAGAAAAAGTCTACCCTAATATTCCAAAATTACAGAATAAGAATTATCCTACCCATAGAGATATCGGGGACAAAAAAATTTCGATTGATGGCAATTCATTGTTAGCATCTATGGAGAGTCAATTTAATAGGTTTTCTTTGGAGGATAATTTAAACATTAATCATAAGGAAGAACATCACAGGGATGAGGAGGTTCGGCAAAGTGATGGGTTACACATGGCAAAAGAACATGGAAGGAATGCCATTGGAGTACATGATCATAGGAAGTATACACGTGATAGATTTATGGGGGCAAATTTAAAACTAAAAGGCCCAGAAAGTCCAAGCTCATCAGTCGATTCTAGTGCAGTTCAGGCTGATCCGGTAATGGATGATGTTGGGGAATGTGAAATTCCTTGGGATGATCTAGTAATTGGTGAAAGAATTGGACTAGGTAAACATGACTGTCCAAGCTCAAATTTTTTCTGTTTTAGTTCTTGCTGAAAGTGATGCTTTTGAGAGTTGTGCGCTACCTCTTAAGCTAGTGCATGTTCAAATCAACTGTTTTTGTCGAGTCCTCTAAAACTTTAATATAGCATTAATCTGGCTCCTCGGGACAGCTTTTCATTCAAGAGTAAGAACCTTTTTCTCCTTCCATCAGCAGGGTCTCTGTATGCTTGTGTGTGTGGTATTAAAGAATGAAACAAATTAAAGGTGGATATCAATGCGGTTGCCGTTATTATTATCACTATTTTCATTGTTGTCATCTTCTCATCACCAGTTTTATCAATATTTTTGTTGTTAGTATTAGTAGGTTTGTCAATCTATCTATCCTGCTTCAGAATTTTACTTTATTTTTTAAAATTATATTTCACATTTTCCCCCCTCCCCATGTAGGTTCATATGGAGAGGTCTACCGTGCTGATTGGAATGGCACTGTGAGTACTGTGACTTCTGCTACTGCTACCAATTATTATTATTATTATTATTATTATTATTATTATTATCCATCACTTGTGGTTCTGTCAAGGGAACATAAACTATTTGCTTGATTATTTTGCGCTTTGTAGTGTCTTATTTTTTAGGTTTTAAAAGTACTTCATGTAAAAGAATTTATGTACCTTGTTTGTTTATATTTTTCATGTGCCAAACATTTTAAAAGTGCTGTATTTGATATTCTAAAATTGTAGATCACATGTTGTATTCGTTTGTCTTTAGCTATCACCATTACTCTGGACTAAACCTGAGTTATCAGAATGTTTACTGCTTAGAGCAACCAAAGTACTCTTCTGTTTTCATATTACCCTAATCCTCTAACCCTCCTTTCGTTGATAAGAAATAGGTAATCTGGACAACCGATTCTGTTTTCATTGTTTGGATCATATCAAATTTTGTGTGCTTTTCCTGCTTTATTTATCCATCACAGTATCTGAATGTTATAAGTACATGGTCTTCTATGGCATATTTATCCTAAATCTCCCTTTAAGGTGGCTGCAAACTAGTCAGATATCCTGTGAATGTCATCATTAGCCTTTTTTGTGAACATGCTTGAACCATATTAACTGATCCTTTTATTTGGAGTAAATTACACAGGTCTCCCTAGACTAATGGTGAAAATACAGTAAGCCCTATAAGTTTGGCATAATTGCGTGGCATACCCATCTAATAATTGTAGAATAAATAGAGCTAACAAAATATATGAAATTATTTTTTGCCCTCGCATATTTTGTGTTTTAAAATTTTAATTTAGCTTCAATGAAAAATGATGTAATTACTGTTCATTGTCATCATCATCTCCATTTTTTGGCCCTAACCATCAGGCCAGTTCACGCTCTCTCCTCCATCTGTTTCCTCTTTTTCCCCCTCCTTTCCTCTCCAGCTTCAGCAGTGGCTATACTCACAACCACCCTACCGGTGCACAGCCACAATCGCATGGACAGGACCAGCCACAGGCCGCCACCATGGTATGAATGCTGATTGATGACCAAACAAATTAGTGAAGCATTTGTGCAAGCATTCACTTTACCATTCTCAAAAAATTCAGCAAAAACTTTCACCAATTCACTCTTAATAAACATCCCAACACTCTTGAAAGACAACCATAGTAAAGCCATTAGGCCTTTGAGCCTTATCCCTTTCATTCTAAAAAAATTGCCAATTTAATGTTCTCATCAAAAGGTCTCTCCAAACAACTAGAATTACTAACCTTGATTGGAGACCACACCAAAACCTCAATCCCTAGCCTTTCTACCCCATACGAAGAGTACAAACTTTAATAAAAGGAAAAAAATTCTATTAATTATCTGGTATTCCCTCTCCACAAACTTCCTAGAGTCTCTTTTCAACCTCTTAATAAATTTCTTTTCCCTTTTCCCATTTGCAACCCTATGAAATAATTTCGAAATATTATCCCCTCGTTTAACCACTTGATCTTTGTTTTTTGGGCTCATGAAATTTGCTCCCGAAACATCACTTTCTTAAATTTGACCTTTAAATCCTATCTTTCCTTCAGACGAGACTCATCAAGACCTCCCTTTGCTTCTAAACTACCCAACTCTTCTACTCTTCTCAAAATTTCAGTTTTACCTCCTTCAAATTACCAAACACTTCTTATTCCAACCCTCAACTTATCTTTCACTGTTCTGAGTTTGTTCATAAATTTAAAACCTTCCCACTCACAAACCCTACAATTGCCACACCACTCCTTAAAGTATTTCTTGAATGATTGATGCTCTAACCGCATATTCTCAAATCTAGAAGGAGTGAGACCCCATTTAAATGGACAACTCTCCAAAACAAAACCACATGATGATGATTCACTGCTACTCGAGGAATCACCTCCAGTCTGACACTTAAAAATCTTTTTTCTGACTCCACAGATTATAGAAATGTGTCCAATTTACTACACACCAAATTAGTTTGGAGATTTGATCATGTGAATCCAACATTTTGGGAGAGCATAACTAAACCATAAAGACATGCTTTGGGTAACCCTATTCCCATTGAGCTTCTCCAAGTCCAACCTAATGACACTAAAGTCACCCTCCCTCTTCCACCAATTGGGAGAGCATAAACCATAAAGTCAAGCTAACTCCTCCCATCAAGAATTTCTTAACCAAGGGCTATTAGCGTCATAAACTCCTGAGTCCTGTTAGACGGAAGAAAGATTACCTTTTGCTTCTAGAAAGCCCGAGAGAAAGGGTTACTTTCAATCCATTCTATCGCAGTCTATCCACTCACTATTATTTACATTACTAAATCTTAAAAGACAATGAACACTCCCCTACTATCATTTCGAGCTCATCAACCAACCTCTCATCTTAAGCAATTAAAGCCCCCAGATGTGTCACAAGAAGTTAAAGCCGCTGATCTCCTATGTCAATCAATTTTCTATCTAATACTCTAATTTTTGTTTCTTACAAAATAACAATATCTGGTTTTGTCCAACAAAAGCGGTCATGACTGAAAATGCTATTATAAGAGAAGCGATGTTGTAGGCTTTTAACAATCTCGGTGCTGTGCATGGAATGCATTAAATATTAGTTCAAAATACTTTCATATTTTCGTCTTGCATTTGCAATTCATGAATGTTTTGAATTATAAGATTACTCATGACAATTCACAAGTGAATTTTTTTTCACCTGCTTTTGCCTTTGTTATCTTTAATTGTTTCATATTGTCAACCCTGAACCTTGTTAGACCTATGCTGAATTTTTATGTTAATTGCACAAATTTTGCTTCAATTGATTTCAAAATTTATTTTATGTATAATATATTTACATATATATAGATAAGTAAATAAACTTATATATTCATTTGGCAGAGCCTTTTCATGGGGGCATAAATTTATTCTTTTTGTTAATTTTGTAATGCTTTTCCCTGAAAATGAATTTTATAATTTCTAATTCTCTGGCAGCTGGATTGTTCTTGATGCAGGAGGTTGCTGTGAAGAAGTTTTTAGACCAGGATTTCTCAGGTGCAGCTTTGGTTGAATTTAGGAGTGAAGTAAGAAATTGCCCCTGAGATTTATATATCTATTCTCAATATATGTGTTGGCTAAAAAAGCGCCATGGCATGGACTCATATTTATCATATTGAGTGTAACAGAATCTCGGAGAATAAATTTTTTGGTTGTTCTCCCTGTTCTGTTTCAGATTGTTTCCGAGGTTTAGAATGAATGTTTCTTTGCACTAAGGCTATTTTTTTTTTTACCAAGGGAAAATCATTGACCAAGCACCATGGTTTTGTATGTCAGGTTCGCATAATGCGTAGATTGCGTCATCCGAATGTTGTTCTTTTTATGGGTGCTGTCACTCGACCTCCAAACCTTTCTATTGTCACTGAGTTTCTCCCCAGGTATAATGGTTTGCTTATCTAATTATATTATCTGATGATTTGAAGTCCCCTTTAAAGAAGCATTGGTATGTCCAATATGAATTCTGCAATTTTAATGTCATTTTGAACCTGAGCGGGTCAACCTAAGTATTAATTGTAACAACTAAACATCTTTGTTTTCACTCTTAGCCTACTGTTTTCCCCTGTTGTTGATGGGAAACTCCAAAACTGCAATTGGTCATCTGTCAATTTGGGCCTCTGTTAGAATTAGGATCAAAAGTCATGGAGAATTCTTCATATTTTGGATCTTGTGATTGTTTGATTGGTTTCTTCATTGCGAAGCGGATCAAAAATCAAGAATCTGGATGGAAGCTTCTGGATGTTTAAGGATGTGTTTGGACTTTCTGATGGATTTGAAGGTCCAATGACAATAATAAGTTTCTACTTAAACACCCAAACCAAACCAAACCAAACCAAACCAAACCAAACTAAGCCTTAAGTTCCATCAAATGGGGTCGGCTACATGAATCTTTCTTCTCTACTCAACTCTATCAACGACCATTTGATTAGTCAAATTAAGGAGATTCATATCTCTATTTACTACACTCACCCACATCAATCTAGATCTCTCCGTGTCCCTGCCCCTGTCCTTTCCCCTAACACTTCTATCTACCATTACCGTATCACATCTCTTCACTATTGTCTCTGTTGGTCTCCGTTGTATATGACCAAATCTCAATCTATTCTCTCAACTTATCTTCTATCGGTGCTACTTATATCTATTCACGAATATACTTATTCCTAATTCTGTCTTTTCTAGTCTTGCTATACATCTACCTTAGCATCCTGATCTCAGCAATACTCATTTTATCTACATGTTTCTTAGTTGCCAACATTTCGTTCCATACAATATTGTTGGTCTAATAGCTGTTCAATAGAACTTTCATTTTAGTCTAGTGGGTACTCGTTTATCACACAATACCCCAGACACACTCCTCCACTTAAGCCACCCTGCCTTAATTGTATGGACCACATCCATTCCAATCTCCCCAACTGTAGAAATTTATGTATTATCTTAGCATCCTGATCTCAGCAATACTCATTTTATCTACATGTTTCTTAGTTGCCAACATTTCGTTCCATACAATATTGTTGGTCTAATAGCTGTTCAATAGAACTTTCATTTTAGTCTAGTGGGTACTCGTTTATCACACAATACCCCAGACACACTCCTCTACTTAAGCCACCCTGCCTTAATTGTATGGACCACATCCATTCCAATCTCCCCAACAATTGTGATAATCGATTATAAATAACGAAAATGTTGACTCTTAGATAGTTCTTGGTTTTCAATCTTTACTTCTCCTCTGCTTTCATTGTTACTGTTACTAAAATTACACGCCTTGTTCTCTGTTTTAATTTTGCTTATTCTAAATTTTTTAGATTTAAGTATTATTCTCTAAGTGTCTAACTTAGTGTTAACTCCTTCTCTAGTATCATCCACTAACACGATATCAGCTGCAAAAAGCATACACCATGGCACATCATCTGGAATATTTCTTATCAACTCATTCATAACTAAAGCAAAAAGATAAGGATTTAAGGTTGATTCTTAGTGTAACTATACAGTAATTGAAAATTCACTTGTCTCTTCACTAGACGATCTAATAGTGGTGACCATATTTTTATACATGTCCCTAATCACATCAATGTATCTTTTTGTCACTCATTTCTTCTCTAACACCCACTCGATTATATCCCAAGGCACTCTATCATATGCTTTCTCAAGATCGATAAAAACTATATGAATGTCTCTTTTTTTCCCTCTATACTTTTCTATTATTTTCTTCAAAAGATAGATCGCTTTCATTGTTGACTTACCCGACATAAATTCAAATTGATTCTCTGACACCTCTGTGGTATCTCGTAATCGACGTTCCATTATTCTCTCTCACACTTTCATTATATGACACATTAGCTTGATTCTTCTATAGTTATTACAATTCTGGACATCTCATTTATTCTTATAGATTGGCACTAAAATACTCTTCCTCCACTCTTCTAGCATTTTCCAAGTTAACAAAATCTTGCTAAATGACCTAGTCAACCAAGCAATACTCTTTTTACCCAAACATTTTCAAGTTTCAATAGGAATATCATTGGGTCGTAAAGCTTTATTCGATTTTATCTTCTTAAGTGCAATTTCCACTTCAAAGTTCTTAATCTTGCGATAGAACTTGTAGTCTTGGTTTTTTTTATTACTGGCTACATCCTCCTTTTTTAACCTTCCTTCATGTTCCTCGTTTAATATCCTCTCAAAATAGTTATTTCACCTCTTCTTAATCTCATCATCCTTCACCAACACTTTAGAATCCTCACTTTTGATGTATTTAACCTGATTAAAATCTCTTGTTTTCTTCTCTCTTATCTTAGCATGTTTGTATATTCTCTTCTCTCCCTCCTTATATCTAGTTTAGTGTATAGGTCTTCATAGGCCTTCAACTTAGCCTCTCATTATTTTTTTGACCTCCTTATTAGCTAATTTGTAGCTCTTAATATTTTCCTCAGTTCTATCATTCTGTCACTTTTTAAAGTACTCTTTTTTCGTCCTTACTACCGCTTGAACTTCTTTCATCCATCACCGAGTTTCCTTGGAGCTGGGTCCCTTTCCTTTTGATTCTCCGAAGACTTCCCTTGAGATTCTTCTCATATAATTGACTATCGAGTTCCATATAATGTTAGCATCATCTTTCAAGTCTCAAGTACCCTCTATATCCATTTTCTTCTTAAATATTTCTAGTTTTCCCTTTTGTAGCCTTGCCATCTCGCTCTACGACACCCACTATTCTTCCTAGCTTGGTATTGCTCTTTAAAGCTTAAATCTAGTACCAAGATCCTATGTTCGTGAGGCTCTTTCCAAGAATCACCTTACAGTTGCTACATTTTAGACGATCCACTTTTCTTACTAAAAAGTAATTTATTTTGCTCCTAATTGACCCACTCTTAAAGGTTATCAAATACTCCTCTCTCTTCTTATACGATGTGTTGGCAACCACTAGGTCAAAAGCCAACGCAATATCTAAAATACTCTCTCCAACCTCATTTCTATCTCCAAAACCATACCCATCGTGAACCCTCTCATAACCTAGTTTATCGATTCCTACATGGCCGTTGAAATCTCCACCTATAATTAGGTTCTCTCCTACGGGTATATCCTATAGTACCTCATCCATTTGTTCATAAAAATCTCTCTTAGTTTAATCATCTAATCCTACTTGGGGGGCATATGCACTAATAACATTCACTATATTCTCTCCAATAACTAGTTTAACTAATATAATCCTATCACCTTTCCTAATGACCGCAACTACATTTTTTACAAGACCCTTGGCAATTATTATTCCTATCCCATTCCTGTGTCTATCCTGGCCAGTATAATATAGTTTAAAACCGGTATCCTCTATTTCCCTAGCTTTCTCATCCGTCTACTTAGTTTCTTGTACACAAGCTATACTAACTCCTCCTAATCTTGACATCTACCATCCCATAGTCTTACTAGTTAAAGTTCTTACATTCCATGTGGCTACTCTAAACCTATAGTCTTGGACTAGCTTCTTTATCCGCGCTTGTCCAGAAAAACTCGCAACCTTTGCTTATTTTTCACCACACCCAGACATTGATACAACGCTTCTTTCTTACTTTTAGAAACACCCGAAGACATGCGCAACGTGTCACTTAAGGGGAACGACCTAGCACTTGAATCAATTCAAAGTAGGATTCATTTTCATAACACACAACCCTCTTCCTTTATCCAGGTTTGGGACCGATGGAGTTGTTAAACAGCCTCGGTAGAGTTTTCTACTTAAAACACCCAATAAAATAAATTTGAGCAATTGATTTTATATTTTTATTTTTCAAGATGTTTGAACATCTTGCAAGTGTGAAGATATGTCAATTTTGAGTCTGATTAACAATAATGCAAACATGTCAGCCTATATTTGGGTATATTTTGGTAAATTATGACCTCATGATACCAGACAATTTATGAGAAACTTTACAAGTTGTGCCTTGGAGTTGAAGTGAATAAATCTAGCTTACAAAATGTTCTATTAGATCATGATTTACTTTTTTACGAAGATCAGTTTATACACTTATTCCCACTTAATGAGTTCTCGAATGGATATTTGAATTGTGAGATAGTGGAAGTTGCCTTCATAAACAATATATGAATGAGATTTTTAGTGGAATGCTGTCATTAGCACCCCATCAATTATTTTGGACCCCTCATTTCTTTGGACCTCTATTTATAAATTTTTTAACCCTTAAAATTTCTTCTCCCCCCAAATAATATAAAAATTATCTTTGTGAAAACATTCCACCCATTTAATTGAATGCACACTTTCACACCCCAAAAAGCCTCTCCCAAAAATTCTAACAAAACCACGAAGGTGATTATTATTTTATCTCCACATACTTGTTCATGACCTGAGAAAATAATGTAGGGCTTTTTGTTGTTGATTCAAAATTCCCCTTTTGTGGGTTTTGCGATCTCCACAAATTTCGATTATTTGTTCCCGAACAAATAAGAGATGTTCTGTTACCTGTTCCCGAACAAATGAACAATGTTCGGACCTGTGTTTCCGAATTTTGGTCATATGTTCGGGAGTTCAGTTTCAAAAAAATGAGAAACAATTTTTATTATTTTTGCTATTTTTTTAAGAAAGTTACCCCTCATAGAAGGTCAATCTCCTCTGAGCTAAGAACAACATCAAAGCTATGAACCTCCTCTTAGTTTTTATTGTTGTACTCCTCTCGTTTCTTGGAGTTGTGATTGTCGGGAAAATTTCTACTCATTGTCATTGCCGGAGAAGTGTAGGTAATCAAATGGTTACCACTGCTACTGCAGAATATTGCTGTCAAAGGGTTTTCAAGGTTTTGAGGATGGGTAGGTTTTGAATGTGGGATTTGGAGAAGATGGATGGATGGGTGGATGGTGATGGAGGTGGGTGCTCTCATAAATCCTAACTCATGATGTAGTGGGTGCTCTCATAAATCCTAACTCATGATGTAGTGGGTGTGTGGGCTTAATTGTGAGATGGAGTGTTCCAAAATTATTGATGGCATTTTTAGTAATTTCATTTGAGGTTATTATTGTTACAAAAGAAAAACTAAAAAATGGAGAGTTTAAAATAATTGATGGAGTGCTAATAGCAACACACTTTTTTAGTATTGTTGTTATTTTTTAAAATAGTCTTCCACATCCTCACATTTGGAGTTAAGAAGATGAGTGGTCATGATTAATTGTCGTCCAATGTAAGTAATTGATAGGACTACCAATATACAACTCAATTCTACACCCCTTTATACCAATCACTTGGTTTGACTACTGATATATAATGCACGTTTCTTAAATTCTGTATTTTTGTGCTTCATGTTTCAAGTATTGTGAGATGATTCACTTTCTGAGTATTTTTGGATTTCCAGAGGAAGCTTATATCGGATTATTCATCGTCCTAATTGTCAGATTGATGAGAAGCGTAGAATTAAAATGGCTCTTGATGTGGTATGAGATAATTAACTAAACCTTTATTTTTTTGTTTTAATCCCAAATACATCATTTTTATACTGTATATAATTTTGATGGCCCTATTCTGCAGGCGAAAGGTATGAACTGCTTGCATACCAGTATACCAACAATTGTTCACCGTGATTTGAAGTCCCCAAATCTGTTGGTTGATAATAATTGGAATGTCAAGGTATTGTTTCTCTCAATTTTTCGGCATTTACTTGGCTAGTTGTTGAAATCACTGCCTCGAACTCAAAGCTAGAATTTGGCTTGTTAAGACTGGGAAACTATGAAGCACGGGTACTCCAAAAATAGTGCCGTACAAGTACCGGGTACTTACCGGGTACGGGTACGCGTACCAGTACGGCGGTACGCGTACTCGGTACGGCGGTACGCGTACTGGGTACGGCAAAAGAGGGTCCGGTACGTTTGGTTCATTCGGGTACGGCACGGGTACGCCACAGGTACGCCATGGGTACGCCTTAGGTACGCCTGGGCCTTTTTTTTTTGTCCTTGCAAATTAGCAATTATTATTATTATTTATTATTTTTTTTTGGTGCCCTTGCAGATCAGTAATTTTGATGTTTCTCTGTTGTCCTGTCTGTTTGTATAAATTGTATAAGCATATCAACAAATGATTTTGATGTTTTTAAAAAGCAATTTGAACAAAAAAAAATAACAAGGCCTATAAAGGATAGTTATGTGTATGACTATGCATTATGCTTTTACTTCAGATCCTCTTAGAATTTCTTTATAAAATCTTTAATCATAACAAACTTTTAGAGTTTATGTGTAAAATATTAAAAATTGATACTGTATTAGTTGATTAGTAGTGGTTGGGAATGATGCAATTTTATGTATTATGCAAATTGCAATTGACAGCCTGCCCCAATTGAGAATTTTTTTTCCTTTACTGTTGGCAATTAACTTTAAATCTTTCTTTGGTCTCCTGTTATTTCTTTGGTCTCACCTTATAAAAATAGCAAATTGATGAGCAAAAAGAAAGATTTTAAAAATAAATTATGATCACAAATTCACAGTGCATAACATGTCAAAGTGAGAGATTTTACAAATATTATTTTTAACGCTTTAATGGTTTTAAATTATAGGAAAATGAGTAATTTTTTATTTAGTTTTGATATTTAATTTTAATTTGTAGGTTGGATCCTTTAATCATAATTATATTTAAAAAAAATAAAAAAATATCGGCGTACCGCAACTGTACCTGTATCGTACTTTTTTTGAGTTTTGCCGAATCGGCGTACCCGCACTCGTACCCGTACTCGTACTCGTACCCGCACCCGTGCTTCTTTGCTGGGAAACAATCTTCAGCAAGCTGGTTTCTGGGGTAGACTTTTGCCGTTCACGGAGTAGATTCTTTGGTTTCCTGTTGATGGTTGTATTTCTAATTCTTTCATATTGTTACTTCTAACCCTGCAGGTAGGTGATTTCGGGTTGTCACGCTTGAAGCATAACACGTTTTTGTCATCCAAATCGACGGCTGGAACGGTGAGAAACTCTAGTTAGCATTTGAGGATTAGTTCTAAGATCTAAATCACGACTTTGCTTCATATATTTGCATTCTTTTTCTCAAGCTATTTCTTCTGAAGTGCTCTTTCTTGCTTTAGCCGGAGTGGATGGCTCCAGAAGTTCTCCGCAATGAACCTTCAAATGAGAAGTGAGTTAATTACTCATTTTTCTTATGTTGATGAAAATCGATGATCATCATGAAGTTTCTGTTTTGCTTTTATCTTTATTCAATGTCTTTCTTTTTGCACTTGGCAGTACGTATGCCAATTACTTAATTAGCTTGCTCATGTGCGCGCACAAAAAAAAAAGGAGAAGGAAAAGGAAAAGGAACAGGAAAGAAAAGTAAAATGAATGATTCTCATGTATTGGTTCTAGTTTTTAATATACATATTTACAGAAAATATTAATTATGCAAAATAGATGATCTACTTAATGCTTCGAAAAAAAAAAAAAAGGTATGATGCTGAAAAACATGACGACATTTCAGGGGAGCTATTGTTACAACAAAATACGAAAGTGGTTTTTTTTGATCCGCCACTCGACAATCACTTTTTAACCAAACGTGACCACTTAGACATTTAGGCCTCGTTTGGGAATTGGCTTTTTTAGTGGTTTTTTGGCATTTTATGAGGTGGAAAAAAGTTAATATGTTTGGGAATGACTTTTTTTAGTTGTATCGAAAACTCTGAATTACTGAGATGTTTTGACTTTTTTTTTAGTGACTTTTTGGCTTGCCAAATGGGGCCTCAGATTCCGGTGTAATTTTATTTTATTGTACTAATTAGGATGTAGATATCATCACAGAAGTAAGTAATATTCGGCTATTGTAGTTAAATCTTTGGGCTATTTTGTTTGTGTGGTGACTGCAAAGATTCACCGTTATGTGATGTAACAAATCTTGTACATTGCTATTAACCAGTGGACAAAAAATAGCATTACCTAGCTTTCACTAAAGAGGAAGCTAATTTAACCGACTGGGGCTAGCTCAGTTGGCCAGAACCCCAACACCTCACTAGGAGATCAAGGGTTCGAGACTTGACAGAGGAAGACTCCGCCTTCACTAGACTACGGGAAAAGAGGAAGCTCAATTTAGTTCTCTCATCCAATGTTTTGGAAATGTATTTTTGGAAATGTATTTTAGTTGTTTCTCCCTTTCACTATAATTTAGTTTTGGAAATTTATTCTCTCACATGTTTATTTTGCAGGTGCGATGTGTATAGCTTTGGCATCATTCTATGGGAGCTTGCAACTTTGAGATTGCCTTGGAGTGGGATGAACCCAATGCAAGTTGTGGGTGCGGTAGGTTTCCAAAATCGTCGTCTTGACATCCCCAAGGAAGTTGATCCTTTGGTTGCTAGGATAATTTGGGAGTGCTGGCAGACGTAAGTTCCTATAAATGTACTTTAAGGCCACGTTTGATTCGTGGATAAGGGGACGGGATTGGATTAAATAATCCAAAGATAAATTATCCCACATTTGGTTTAAATTTTCTGACTCAGGATAACTAATCTCGAGAGTCCTTTTATCCTTCTTATGCAAAATTATTTTGTACCAGGCAGAGAAGTGGGACTCTATTTTTGTTGCAAAATTTCCAAAATACCTTTATTGGGATAAATTATCTTGAGATTGTAATCCCACATAACTTATCTCGCCTAATCTTCTATGTGAATCTGTACCCGAAGTATACACCTTGAAATCTATACGCCACGACTAATTTCTTCCTTGGTAATTTTTTCCAGTGATCCAAACTTGCGGCCTTCATTTGCACAGCTCGCGGTGGCTCTAAAGCCATTGCAGCGTCTGGCCATACCTGCCCATTTTGATCAGCAAAGTTCTCCTCTTCCACAAGAGATCTCGGTGAATACCACACCTTGAAATGCCTTGGGGCAAATGTGAATAAGGTGACATTTTGCTTTGTGTGAACTCTACACCGCATTATGGGGTTGGAAGAGAGGATAATATATAACGGTTTAAGGAAAGCGTTGGGGGTAATGATTAGTGGTTAATCGAATGAAGCCATGTATCGCTGCTGTTGCCCAAAGACTGTGGCAACCCCTTTTTTTTTTTTTTTGTAAAGTGGGTGTGCATAGGTTTGGTATTGAAAAATGACAATTTGAGATGTAAATACCTTTCTTGAAAGAAATTGCCAAACAATTTTATTTTTTTGTGAAGATTTAAATAATTATGTTTGTAAATTTGGTCAAATGGGTTAAGGATTGATCCTCTTATTTGTCCAGCTGTTGTGATTTATTGCGAGTGACTGAAAGGAGGGACTTGAATTTTATGTAAAGAAAGGAGAGATCAACCATGAAAATGAAGGATTTCAAAAACCTGACCTGTTGATTGGGTAATTATTGGGTATTATTGGAACACTATTGCATACATGGTGATCCAAAACTAATGTCGTGGCGGGAAATACGGTAAATACAGGGAAATAGGGAAATACATGTAAGATATGGTGACTAATTTTTGTTAGATAATTGGTGATAAGGGATGATCCGCTTTGAGTTGCAATTTTTTATTTATCAAGAGCTCTAAATATGCAACTTTTTATTTATCAAGAGCTCTAAACAAGAAACGTGACATGGTATGGCGGTACTATCTAATAATATAATTTTGTCGACTAAGGGTATAATTGTTATTAGGTTTTTTGTTCTCATGTTTTAAAATATTTATATTTGTTAGATTATGTCTTCTTTCTTAACATTTTTAAGAGTTAATCCTTGCATGATTATTTTGCCGTTAAAAGAGAAAAAAAAATAAAATAAAAAATTCTTACATGTAAAGTGATTTTATCGTGTATTTTGACAAGGAAAAAGTGAGATTTAATATTAGATGGCATGTTTTAAAACATTTATAATAGTTGTCGGATTATGTACCTAAATGTTATTTAGAGTGTACATAAAGGGCATAACACGTATACACATATGTAATCCATATTTTTTAAGCAAACCACACAACAAAATAGTCCCATTACATGCAAGATAAGATTACACAGATAATTGAAATTTTTTAAACTCCACAAAGACCAGAGTTGCATTGAGACTATGGTGTGCATATTGGTCTGCTGGCTAACTTTTTTTACTTTTATTTTTTTACAGAGTTTAAGATTAATATTTAAGCTGATAAAGCCAATAAAGATGACTTTTTAAATTTATTTATTAAATTAGTTAGACTTGAAAATGTTGTTTATGACCCAGTCTGACTTGATCATTACTAGTAATATGTTATATATTAGTACGCAAATTGATATATAATTTACTTGGTATTATTTTTTTTAAAATAAAAAATATGCACTTTAGATGATAAAATTATTACTAACATTTTAGCTTTATAATATTTGTTTATATTAATATATGAGTTTGCGTTAGATGGGTTGGAAATTGTAATAATTAATTAGTAAATTTTGGTAAAAAGTTTATCTCAGAGGGAGTATAATGTATTAGATTTATGGTAAAATCTTATTTTATTAAAAAAAAAAAAGGTAAAATCTTATTTGGTGATAAAGATATGTTGAAAAGTCATCAGCGGCAACAATTGAATAGCCGACAATAGCAATTGGTGATGATGAGGTTGAGAAATGTATAATATTCAATAAATAGTTATCCTTTTAGACAAATTGTATCATTTTAGTTCAAAAAGATTAGAGCTTCCCTCAAAATATTTAAAAATAGACTTATGGTCTGAGTGTTCTATTAATTATATTGTGTTTTGAGAATTTCATATAGGTGATTTGCCTAACTAATAGCAAAGTTCTAAATAATCGCATGGCCTTAAGAACAAAGAAATGATTAAAAAAATAACAATATAACACTAAATAGGCACATGTCGAGTCGTTATAATTTTTCATTTTAAGACTGTTTGGAAGAGATTTTAAAGTTTGAAATTAGACCGGTTCAACCTTAGGTACAAGAGATCTTAGCATTTCTATTTATTCACCCCTAATTGAAACGTGCTATATTTATTTCTTAATTCAAGATTATACAAATGCCATTTTTCTCACAAAACATAAAAAATTTACATATCAAGAGTAAATTCAACTCTTTTTCAAAGCAAGAATTCTGGATTATTCTAAACAAATCCACAACAGATGTACATAATAATGATATTTATATAAATGATGAAAAATATTGGTGAAATTCATCAAATTTTCCACAAAAGACATATCTCAAGGGTCTTCAGGAATAGAATCAGTAGATAGAAAACTGTAGACAAACAAGTCCTGAAGATCACCCATAAGAAAGCTGTATTTCCTTAAATGCCCCTCCTTCATAAACCCTGCTTTCTGCAACACCCTCTGAGAGCCCTTATTCTCTACATCCGCATAAGCCTGCAACCTCACTATATCAGGAAAGTCCAAAAACACCTGAGACAGTGCCATCTTCACCACCTTGGTTGTGATCCCCTGCCCCCAGTAGCTCGCCGCTATGGCGTACCCTATGTCCGCCCTGCATCGATCATCTCCCGATCCAGGGAAGATCGATACGAATCCGATCGAACGGTTGTCGATGCAGATCGATCGGCGCCAACGGTGAGGGATGCATACTTCTCTTATGAAAGTTAACGCTTCTTCTTTGGAGGTGATTGTGTTCCATCGGAACAAGCGAGTCACTCGATTGTCACGGGCCCATAGTATGAAATCATCTACGTCGGTTAATCGGAACGGACGGAGAGTGATTGTTGATGATGATGATGAATTCATGGTCACCAAAGGTGAGTGATTGTATGTTTTGCAAATTTAAAGACAACTGTTTTTTATAGGATGAGCAGCGGATATATCGATCCTCCAAAATTGACCGAACCGAACCGATCTGTCGCATTTTGGACGGATGCGTGATGACGAGCGGACGGTTACGGATTAATTTTCTCCAATCCGCCAATCTGGCAGATGGATGGCGGATTTGAGATTCCTTTGGCCGCAACTGAACCGTCAAACCGCGAGCACCCCTAGTAATTTATAAGACTTTGTATTTTCAGTTTATTTAAATATTCTGTTTGTGTTTTCAATTAAAAAAGAGTTTTAATATTCTGTTAAAAAAAAAATTTCAACTCGAATATCTTTTTTGAATTGAAAAAAATAAACGTATTATTTATCTATATTTTTTGATTTTTAAATCTATCTCTAAAAATAATAAATAGAAAATATGATATATGCTTGTTGATTTTTGTTTTCAAAAATAGATATAGATGTAATAATACAGAGACACACAATCTCTACTACTGCTCTGTTCATGGCTTTGATGGTTTGAATTGTTTTTATATTTTAAGAACCATAGATTGTAATACTTTATATGGATGAGGGATGCTGTGATTGTAGTGTGTGATTGTAGGGTGTGAATGAGGCATGCAGTGATTGTGATATTCTAATATTTCAAACTTTCTTACTTTAGATGAGACATGCAGTGATTGTAATTTTTTTTTTTAAATCATTGACTGTAATACTTTCTTCTTCTTTTTTTGAGGAAGTGTACGAGTTGAATTATGTTGAAAATTTATAAAATTTTAAACCGTTAAACTGATGCGTATCCATCCGTCAAACTGCTCAATCCACATCCGCCGGATTGGCAGACGGATACGGATTAATTTTTTTTAATCTGCCAATCTGGCGGACGGATAGCGGATTAGAAGTTCCGTGGCCGTAACCGTAACCGTAACCAATCCGCGCCCACCCTTAATTTTTTATTGTGAATTTTTTATGTGATAGGGTTGATTTCAATTTATTTATTTATTTTTAAATAGGATTATATGTAAGAGTAATCTTAGTGACCCAATGTTTTACAAATATTTTTATGAAATGTCTCAGGTACGATTCACATGAGGTTCACACCATCTGTTTCAGTTTCATATGAGGCTTTTAATAAAAATATTGGCAAAATATTTTATATAGAAACACAGTTATATCTTACTTGTTTATTTTTAATATTTTATATCATGGAAAGTACATAATAATAAAATATTATTTGTTTCATTAAATTTTTAATAATTATCTTTAATTAAAAAAAGTGAATTATGAATAGGAAAATGTCTCGTAGCTCAAATTTTGTGGCTCAAAAGTGGCTCAAATGGCCAAAACGACGTCGTTTTAGTCATTTTTATGTTGTTCTGTACTCAAAACGACGTCGTTTTAGCCATTTGAGCCACTTTTGAGCCACAAAATTTGAGTTACGTAGCATTGTCGTAATAATAACTACTAAACACACTACTCAAATGGGTAGTCTTTTAAGTAGTCTTGTAGATGTCTTTACGTTCCACCAACACATTCAGAATATTTGGTGGATAAAAATAAGGGCAGGTTATACGTTACCTTTCTCAACAATCACCGTTTTTAATTTTATTCATTCGAATTAAAAATTGGTATAATATACTTTCATCTTTTAAATTTTTTCAATAGAGGTCTTGTATCTCCATTTTATTAACAAAAGAGTCAGAGAAAAGGCATATAATGTGTATATGTTATATTTATGATAAAAATATCCTTTATGCTGTGTTTGGTTGAGACATTTAAGCAGAGATTTGAAAAAAAAAAATGTGTAAAACTAGTTGAAATGTAAGTATATTTTATTCACATTTCATCTGTCTTTTTCATTTTTCTTTTCAAATCTTTTCGCAAATTTATCAACCAAACATTACGTTAAAGATTTATCGCAAATATGAAATGTGCATATTATATGCACTTTTTTGATCTGTTTTGTTAACAAAATAGAGACATAAAGATTAGATTGAAATTTTTTAAAAGATTAAGGAGGTAAAGTGAAAAATGGTATTAGTTGAGGGGATAAAGTGTAATTTGCCCTAAAAAAAAAAAAATTAGTGATATATATGGCATTTCTAATTTTGATCTATTTATCTATCTATCTATACTATTATAAAGTGAACACCTCTTATGGTGTCCTGAAGTTTTACTCTCCCCATGCCATGTGGCAGTATTTTTTTTTTTTTTTCCCATGCCATAGTTAAACAAAGAGATGGGCAAGGCTTGAACCCATGACCATAGGTTCCCATGCCATAGTTAAACAAAGAGATGGGCAAGGCTTGAACCCATGACCATAGGTTTAAGTATGAGGACTCATACCACTTAAGCTAAGTACACATTATAATATTAATTTCATTATTATTTTTTTTATTCCTACTTATTTAAATTGCACACACATCGTGTGTGCCACCCACTAGTATATATATATATATATATATAAGTTTCTTACCTAGATGCACGGTGGAGGTAAAATAAAATGGTCAAATAAATTTAATAATATCTATCTATATATTATATAAGTGAAAGGAAATTTTTAATGAGAAAGCCTTGTGAAATTCAAAACACTCATACTATTTTTTTAAAATTCTTATTTAAAACCTTCTTTAAAGGGCTTTTTATTGATAAATCCCATTTAGAAATGTTCTAACCTAAGAAGTCCATGAATAAATTTTTTAACCCACTTAGTCCATGTATATATTTTTATTCCATAAAGTCTTTTTTTCTTGATTTACATTATTTTCTTAGACTCTTATGCCCTTATATTTAATATTGGTATTTAATGTTGGGGGAAGAGAGAGAAGGGAAATGACTAAGGCATAAGAAATTTCATATACAAATTAAATAATATTGATGTTATTATTTTATATTATTATATAATGTGAATATATTTTTAATTGACAATACATTAAAAATAATGTGAACATTCTCTCTCATCTGATGTGAACGTTCACAATACCTTTCCGAAAAATTATCTCTCATCTAATATAGTGATGTGAACGTTCACAACATGTGAACCTTCTTATTTTTAATTGACAACACATTAAAATAACGCTCATTATATTTTTAGTTGGCAATACATTCTTATTCACAACATATAGTGACGTGAACATTCTCTCTCATCCAACATAGTGATGTGAACGTTCACATTTGTATATTTTAATATGAATATTCACATAATGTAATTAACAACACAATGACGAAAATTCATTTCCAATTAATATGAATATAATGATGTGAATATTCATTTCAATTGCATGATGTGAATATTTATATTATGTAATTGACAACACAATGACACAAATCCATTTCAAATTAATATGAATATAATGATAGTTAATATCTTAATGCATGAGAACTATCAAAACATAATAACAATCAACATTAAATATCAACATTAATAGGGGTAGGAGAGATTGAGAGTGTTTTGGTTTTCTTACCTCAAATAGGACCTAATGGAATAATAAAAAATAATATGAGTCGGATAGAATAAAACTCTTAGAAAGAGAATTTATCAAAAAAGCTCCATTTTTTAAATAATAATAAAAAAATTCTATTGAATAACATTTAATGAATCATTTTAAAAAATAGTAATTGATCCATTAAAAGGAAAGTTAATTAATTTATCTAATAATTTAAATAACTTTTATGCCTTGATTTACATATTTCAAAAGGAAAGTTAATTAATTCATTTTAAAATTTAAATTTGAAAGGAAAGTTTATTAATATATTTAAAAATTTAAATAGTTTTTATGCCTTGATTTACACATTTCAAAAGGAAAGTTAGTTAATCTATTCAAAAATTTAAATAACTTGTATGCCTTGATTTACACATTTTAAAAAGAAAGTTAATTAATTTATTTAAAAAATTAAAAGGTCATTTACATACAAGTCTCATTTTGTGAACTTATAATCCATTAAGTCCTAGATAAAATTATTTGCTACTTCAAATCCCATTAATTTTTTATGGATCAATTTATCCTTCCAAACCTGAATTTGGGAATCAGATGGTCCTCAATTTCGATTTCGAGTTTGACGAGCAAAGTATTCCCCAAAAGAGTACAAAGATATATATAAAGTGGGTTGGAGAGAGAGAGAGAGAGAGTGGTTGGGAAGGAGAAAGAGTTAACGGTTAACAAAAAGGAAAAGAAAGGGCGACCCATTTGGGTTCACTTTGATTGGATGCTCTGTTCTTTGTGGGGATGCGTTTCTTTCAGAAAACGACGGGAATATCTTCCTAAGTCATCCACTTTTTCTTCACCTCGTTTTTGGGCGGTTGGTTGGTTGTTTGATTGGTGAGGAAAACTTGTTGAATTATTAAAGAAAATAATAAAATTTGAGAGAAAGATACTCTCTCGAGTCTTTCTTTACACAGAAAATTACATAGAATAGCGTGAATGGAGAATAAGATTCTCCTGTGCTAATGGGCGGGCCGGGGCAAGGCTAGTTTGTAGTATCTAATCTCTTTCTGTCTCGTATCATATTGAGGACTATACAAATTAAAAACATAACTCGTCAGAGCCATACGTTCAATAAATTTTGTGTTAATTACAAAATTGGAATTGAGAATATTCTTAGTTTATAATATTCTCAATTTTAATTATGAAAAAAAAACTTAATTCAACAATTTAATGTGTCAAGTTCGCAGAATTATCTTTCTTTTCAATCCCATACTTTTCTCAAAAGCCAAACAGATTGTGATCAAGCAAGAAGAGAACACATACCTCTTAGTTCATACTAGGAAAAAAATTGAGAAATTTCTTAGTTTTGAAAATTGAGAACATTCTCAATTTTGGGATTAAAGGGCAAAACGTCTTTTTACCTATAAATGAGACTTATTGGTTCAAAAACTTTTTGATAGGACCTAAGCTACTAACAAATATGTAGGCATGACTTTTTGGTAATTAATCCAAAATTAAATTTAGAAATTGAAAAGGAAAGTTAACTAAAATATAAATTTCAATTTCAATTTTTATACTACTAAAATATAGGAAGTAATCTACATCTTCCATAGATTTATTTATTTATTATTATTTTTTTTAATGTTCAATAATTTTATGTGTATTGATATTCCAATCTATAATATATTTATATTATAGCAAACAAACATTT